AGAGTCAGGGGGGCAGTGCTTAGCGAACCTGGCCTCTGACGCGGTCCTCTAAATCCCGTAGCAAGGGTCCACGTGCCAGGTTAGAGGGGTGGGAGGAGGGGAGCGCGTCGGAAAGGGCGGGTGGCCCGGCGGGGCAGGGAGGGGCGTAGGGGTGCGGAGGTGCGGGAAAGGGAGGAAGGAGAGAGGGGAGGGGGGAGGAGGCGCGGGAGGTGGGGCGGGAGGTTGGCACGGCACCGACTCGCGTCTTGTCGATCCAGAGGATGTTTTCGTACCTGCGGGCGGGGCTCCGAGCCCGGCTGCGTGAGGCGGCTCGAGGAGGGGCGGCGAGGGCCGGAGGGGGATGGTCTCGCACTGGATGCCGGGGATGCAGCGGTGCACCATCTGGTAGAAGCGGCGGTGGGCGCCGTGGTCCGGGAAGACGATGAAGGCGCGGCGAGGGTCCTCCTGCACGCGTGGCTGGAGCACCTGCGGGAAGGGGCGCGTCCACGCCGCTAGGAAGGGGCGCACGGCGCGATCGCGGGCGCTGCCACGGCGCAGCGCGGGGCGGGCGTGTCGGGCGGCGGGCGGCGGGCCGTGGAGAGGAAGCGGTCGAAGGGCGAGGCGAAGTACGTCCCGAGCCCGCGCACGTAGTCGTACTCGCGCCGCCTGGAGGCGTGTCTCGGAGGCGTCTCGGAGGCGTGTCTCGGAGGCGTCTCGGAGGCGTGTCTCGGAGGTGTCTCGGAGGCGGTGTCGCGCGTTTCGCGTGCTCTCGAGTGCCATGCGGCCGTCTGAATCGTGTTTATGTGTGCATGCCATGTGTGTGTTCGGCTCTCTCTCTCTCTCTCTCTCTCTCTCTCTCTCTCTCTCTCTCGCTCGCTCGCTCGCTCGCTCCCTCTCTCCCTCCCTCCCTCTCTCCCTCCCTCCCTCCCACTGTCGCTTTTCTCTCTCTCTCCCTCTCTCTCCCTCTCTCCCTCTCTCTCCTCTCTCTCTCCCTCCCTCTCTCTCTCTGCGCGCCGGTTGGCCCAGCGGCCGGTCGAGTTGAGGGTCGCCTGATCACCGCTTCTCTCCGTGATTGGCCACGCAACATCCCAGGCGCCCGCTCGAGCCGACACCTCGCCTCGAGGTCTTCGTACTCGTGAATGTCGAGCAGCAGCAGCTGCTGCGGCGGCGGCGGCGCTGCGCAGCCGGCGGGAGGCGGCAGCGGCAGCGCGGAGAGCATCGCGGCAAAGGACTGGCAGGTGGGCACGTCCACAAACTCGCCGTCCGGCTTGCCTACGCGGGACGTGTCCTGGACGTGTCCTGGACGTGTCCCGGACGTCCTCCCGGCTCGCCGTCCGGCGCGCCGTTGTCCCACTTGCCGGTGGTGACGGTCCAGCGGGAGGTGCGCTCCATCTGGCAGTGCCGGTACCACGGCACGACGATCGTCAGCGACGCGACCGAGCACGAATCGTACGCGCCTGGCCGACGCGGCGCGGAGGTGCGCATCATGGTCGCGTCACTGTCGCTGTCACTGTCGCGTCACTGTCGCGTCACTGTCGCTGTCACTGTCGCTGTCACTGTCGCGTCACTGTCGTGTCACTGTCGCAGACGCGTACCTCCGACGCGGCATGCGCGCGCCATGCCAGCGTGCGATGGGCGGTGGCGGTGCGAGCGCAGTGGAGCCAGGGGCGTAAGAGGGCGGCCAGATCGGAGGCGTGAGTCCAGCGGCCGAGGAGTGTCTCGGAAGTGTCTCAGAAGGCGCGCCGTCAGCCATCGTCTGCTTCCACTTGCCGCGCGCGTACTGCTCCTTGGCGTGGGGCACGTTGAACCGCTGGAGGAAGAGGATGACCGCGAGCTGCTCGAACAGGAAGATCGTGTCGTGGTTCATCAGCAGCACCACGTGCCGGTCGCGGATCAGGTCGACGCGCAGCTTGATGTTTGGGTCGCCCGACGGGAAGCGCTCCCATGCGAGGCCCGTCTCGTCGATCGAGCCGCCGCTGAAGATGTCGTCGGTGCACAGCACCGGCAGATTGTCGCCGAGGTTCTCTGCCAAGCCGAGCGCCATCTTTGCGAGGCCGGGCGGGTAGAGCACCGTGTACTCGCCGTGCCCGATCGGCAGCTGCCGTTCGGTTCGCCGCTTTGACACCTTTTCCTGCCACTTGAGATCGCTTCTGGTGCCCTGGCGGGTGAGGGTTTGTGACGACATTCTCGGGTCGGCTTGCAGGGCTGAGCGGATCGGGCGGGTCGCTCAACGGAGTGCCCGGCACTCTCAAAGGGTTTTCTCTTTGAACTGGGATTTTTCTCTTTGTGGTCGCGCCGCCCTCGACTCAAGGGGTGCCCGATGCCATCTTCGCTTCGTACTCGAATCCACCACGGTCCACGCCGCAACCGTCGCCGGCGCGCGACACGTTCCCGTAGGCCGGACTGTCCTCGTCGAGAGTGTGTGCCGCCAAGGCGGGACGCACTCAGGGACGGTGCCGACGGGACGCGGCTCGAAGGGTGTGGCTCCGCAGCGCGGCTGGCACGCGTCGCAGAGGCCTCACCTTCGAAAAGTCGGGCATGGCTCCACCCGCAACTTTCTCGCTAACACGCGCGCACCGCCGAGCCTGCGGCGGGCGCGCTGCGGCCGCACGTCTAACTTCGTCATAGTGCCACGACGTGCGGCCTAGATTTAGCCCACGCGCCTCTGCTCGCAAACACTCACCCATTGAATTGTCACTGCCCGTGAGTGCGAGGATAGGGCTAGCAGTAGGCAGCTAGCCTCTGAGGAGGGCGTCCATAGACACCTCACAAGACCCCACACACGGTCTTGTCCGTGCCTTGCGGCCGGCGAGATTGCTAGAGGTGGAGCAAGCCTGCTCTAGCCTCGCATGTTACTTCCTGTCGTCTGTTGTGATGTTGTGCTGTTGTTTGTTCCTTTGGCACGGTGGAGTGCTGGGGGGGGCGACAGGGAGGATGTGGCCTTGAGTTATGTGTACGCCAACTCAGGGTGTGTGGCAGCCAGCTGGCTGTGTGTCTTGTGAGCCTGTTTGTGTCTGTGTGTCGCTCGTGCGTGTCGTCATCACATCTGTCCAGCGTCCACCCATACCGCGTTGGTGTCCAGTCCGAGCCTGGCTGTTCTTCACCTTACTATACATACATACATGTGTGTGTGTGTGTGTGTGTTCATGGAGGCAACCGATGCGAGTCGACTGGTGTGGTCGTC